GTAAAAGTATACAATGTGTCCATAATAATATGAAAATGACAACTTCTCTAATACATAATAATAAACTCAAACATATACATATAAGCTTTTAAAGTAAAAAGAAAAAAAAAGTACTGTTAAAATTAAAGACAAAAAAAATGAGAGAATAAAATTTAAAAAAAAAAAATCTTCTTTTTCAGCTACTCTATTTATAGTAACCATTTTGCAACCAATACAAGTCTAACTTATGAATTTATAATATGTATACATATATACATACATATACGTACATAATATTGAAAATACAAATTCATGTTTAAATGTATGTATGTCATATTTAATAATATTGGGTAGCAAACAGGATGAAAACGAAATTATGTGCCAAGGGAAATTCATTTTATTCAGTTTTATAGTATTTGTGGAAGTATGAAAGTCCAATGTGTAGTTTATTTGTTTTTTTTTTTTAATTTGACACAATCATTGCACAAAACTAGATGAAATATTATTTTCATTTAATTAAAGATTAAACGATAATAATAATTAAATATAGTTAGAAAAATTGAAAATTTGCTAAAGAAGTAGATGTTATTTGATAGTTTTTAATGGAAAAAAAAAACAAAAAATATCGCATATAAGAGAACGCTTTCTAACTGTTGACTCATTTCTTTTGTAATTAGTAACATAATGAAAATAATGGATCAACTCAATTGACCTGGAGCAATAGCAATACCGAAATATCTAATGAATAAACACTATATGAGTAATTAAATTGCTCAAAATCAAGAACGCAAAAGCTCAAAGTCAAAAAATGTGGAAGAAAAGACACCTATCATTACTTATTTGGCAAATAAGATAAAACTTTAACGAAACATTTTGGAAACAGAAATCTTTAACGAAATTTCCCAATGCAAATCGTATCAAAAGCATTGCTAATATCCTGGAAAACAATGTTACCCCACTCAACGCGCTCGATAACGTTCATAGTTGAGTTCGAGATGAATTGCAACGGACTAGTAACTTAATATATTCTCCCATGAATGTAATGTTTATAAGCAAATTTAAATATTTATAATAAAATACAAATTCTCAACTATTGGTCTATATTTTATGACAAGAAAACCGGATCTTGAAGCTTCTCTTCCACGCTATGTTACTATCCCCATCAAAGAATCACGTCATATACCCAAATTATAATATAATAATTATTATGACCCGCATAACTACTGCTATAACCCGAACCCAATCAAGGATACAGCAACTTTTGATTCACATTTATACCAAACAAAATTGGTTTATTCTAAATATACATACTTATGTTTAGCACACTATCAATGGCGTGTAAAATTTTTTGCTAAAATTTAAAAGTTTTTCCAAAGTAACTTAAACCACTACCCTAAATATAATTAAAATAAATTTACATAAATGTTCCTCCTTTCTCTCTGTATTACTAAATTATTATAAACATACCTACATACCAGTGTATGTCCTTCAACTTTTATCTATACATAATTTTTGTTTTTTTTTTTATTTACTTCAATTTATGTATTCACTTTGATCTAAAAAGTTGTTAGATATTTATTTTAATTAAAAAGTTGGCACATTCTCGAGAATTAGTTTAAATTTAGTGTGAGATTTTTTTTTTTTATTTTTTGTTTTTTAACAGTTATAAAAATTCAATTGATTGATTTGAAATTGTAAATAGAATGAAGTAATAAAAAACCGCAATGTCAAAATTTCCCAATTAGTTCATATTAGTTGCTTGTTAGAATTTGCATGTTAAATATTTGAAATTTAAAATAAATTTATAATAGATATACAAGACTAATATCGCCTACAACAGGAGATGAGTCTTAGCGACTTGTAATGAGTAGATGAGATGGGTAAATCCCCTATAACAAATGGGTAAATCCTGATTCAAGCTAGACAACCGATAAAATGTAAATCGCTTCAGTATTACTAGAATAACTAGAATATTATTAAATCACTGCCCCATTTCGGGTGTCCCCAATACTTGTATAATTAATATAAATTTCTAAATTCACCACATTTGCCTATCTTCATCTAATTTTGGAAGTTAGTTTTCAAATTATTGTTTTCTGTAATATGTAAAACTGTAAAAATTGTATTTTGTTTGAACATTTTCAAGCTACTTTGAAAGGATAACAATGATTTTTGCATTTAACAACGTTATTACCTTCTGATAATTTAGACATTGCAAGGGACTTATTATAGCTGTCGCAGAATCTCTAACAACCGGACCATCTTCAGGCATCAATAAAAAATAAACTTATTTTCTTCCTAATATATTTTCAATACCATTACATTGGTTTCACTAAATAATTTAAATTTGAAAAAACAAGAAAAAAAAAATACTCTGATATCATCAATTTGTATTCATGACAGGTTAAAACTATAGAAAAAGTCTTAAGGTGCCAACGAAAAAAAAAAAAAATTATAATATGAAAAGAAAATAAAACATTTTCACATCACTCTTTCTCTCGCATAGCGAGTATAATTTTGAACAGGTACCAGATGAAATTTTTCCTTATATTCTCTTGATTGGCTGTGAATTAAAAAAAAGAGCAAGAAAAAAAAACAAACCTTTCATTTTTTTTTTTACTCCGAACAAATTAAGTGAAACTGCTAATATGATAAGAAAAATTAGAGTGACATTTTCACGTTATTTTACGTTCTTTTTTTCTTCTATTATTATTGTTGTCCTTTTCCTTCTCATATTATTTTTCGAATCGGCATGGAAAATGTGCAAGATATTAAATATACATCAGGTAAAATGTAACTGTAACAGAATAGAATCATGAAAATCTTTAAAAAGCAAAACTCGTTAAAGAGAAAAATAAATGGAAAATTTTTTATTTTTTGCGGGAAAGAAACAAAAAACAAAACGAATTTATTTGAAAAGAAAAGTAATGCTTTCCTTTTCCAATTTTTTTTTTTTTTATCTTGAATTGGTATAAAATTTTTGATGAAACTGGTTAATTTGGGGGTACAAACATAAAGATTCATTTTTTGATATTTTTTTTTCTGTGTAAACGTGAAGGGAATTTATAATTAATATTAAAATTACTTGTTTTATGTTACGTTACGGTATAACATAAATGTATGTATGTATATAGTTGAGTATATTTTGAAGTTTTTGTATACACATGCATGAATACACAATATTTTTATACAAAATGGACCACTTAACCTAATAAAAATTTCAATAAAGTCTTATTATACCGATAGAATAAATTGATTGAAGACAAATTTTATAACGTTATAGATAATTAACACATACATATTTCACACATACATAATTTTAAAAAAATTATGTATGTGTGAAAATTTCCGGTATTTCGTTAGTGTTTTACGGTGATTTCAGTAATTATTTGATTGCAGAAGTGTTGCTTCTAACAAACAGATCTCATTTTTTCGAATTTTCAAAGACGTATTAGTTATACCGTACGTATCGGAATGAAGAACTAAGAAATTATTATCAGAAATTGACTCCCACGTTATGAATTAGTAAATAAGTTCCAAATTCAAAATAAAATTTGGGATGAGAAAAATGGAATAGTTGAAATTTTTTATACCAACTTCATTTTATTAACAATTTCACTCGACCCACCTCCTTACTCTAACGGTTATATTTTCCAAAATAAAGCCATAAAGGTTTAAGGTACTAGATATGAACCTTGTAAGAGACTCTATCTTCCCTACAGCTATATGTTTCACATTTTGACGACACTGAGAGTAATAAATTAATAAGATTTCTTGAAACTAAATATGTATTTAAGTTTCACTTTGTCAACGATACAAACTGACAAGCTTGAGGAAAATAAATGTCCGAAACCTCTACTAAGCAGATTAATGCAATCGAAATTTTTATTCAGAAAGATTTAAACTGCAGTTATGTGCCGACCACATCAAATTTTTTTAACATATTGTAAAGACCGCCACTGATATATTTTTTTATATTTTTCTGAGCATTTTGGAAAAATTTCTTTAAAGTGAAATATTTAATATCAATTATTATGTCTTCTCATATTTGCAGTTCACTTCACAATTTTTATTAATTGTACACTTTCATGTTGTAAGAATAAACAGAAAAAAGAGTTAAGTCAATACGGTTTATGCCTTGACCAAATATCAAAATTATATAAAAACCAGAAAATTTAAATTTCATTCTGATTTTAATATAAAAATTCAATATTTTAATAATATCGTAAATTTGTTCCAAAATTTAAAATGCATTCATTTCACTTCTCTACGAAATTTATTCGTTTTTATGCATGCAACACACAATTAAATAATTTTTCTTTTTTTTCATATACCAAAATTTTCATTTGGTGTAGGCGCAACCATCGCAATTTATTTTAAGTACACGTATTTAAGCTAATTCATATGTAAACATACGAAAATAAATATGTATATACGAGTATGTAGGTATATTTTTTAATTTGAATAATAAATATAAGTAATAAAATTTTCTAAAATTTACATACATAAATTATGTAAATAATTTTGCAATATTTTAATATGATAATTCTATAATAATAATATATACAAGAGATATAACAAATGAATCTGAACGAAATTTACAATTGTACATAATACTTTCTAATAATTTAATTATAAATGTAGAATGATAATGAAGAGTGAATGTTAGAAATTAAATATTTAATAGAAAATTTTTTAAATAAATTTAACAAAAAACCAAATTGTATACTTTAAAAATTTAATTTTAAATCAAAATTTTTAATTTTTCCACATTGACGTTCTGTTTTTAAAAAATCAAAAAAATTTAGCGATTAAACGAATTATAGTGATTTTATTTTATTGTACTTATGTTCGACAATATTCCTAGATGTTTTCAAATCGTTTGATAAGGTTTTGGCACTATGGTTTATTATTTAAACTTAAGAAAATGATACCTTTGCAATTCGTAGAGTTACTTGAATTATATTTATTGTATAGTATTTTACAGACTTTTTCGAATTAAACAGGACGAGTAGTATTCCATGCTTAGGGAAATCAGAGCTGTTGTGCCTCACGACAGTATTCTGCATCCTATACTACATGTGCTTTATATAAGTGATTTACCAGATTTAGAGGACGTAGCTGTGACAACATTTGCGGAATACATCAATATTGGCAGTAGGATGTAGTGTTGAAGAATCTAAAAAAAATTATATGAGGCAAGTAACAATTTAAGTAAATGGACGAATAAATGGAAAATAAAACCACATGAAAATAAATCTGTACGTGTAAGTTTCACAAACAAAAATTTAGTAAGCCCGCCACAATTGAATATATATGGAGATTGAAATATCAATCCAAAACACAGCGAAATGCCCAGATATGACTTTGGATGGAAAAAACATATAAAAAAGAAAAGAATAGAATTAAAAAACAAACATAGAAAAAACTATTGACTCCTAAGTCGTAACTCCAGATTGGCAACATACAATAAGGTGTTGATATATAACCATATTATAAAACCTATACACATAAAACATATACAAACTTTCAAGAACAAGGTCCATTGTATTATAGTGGAAACTGTGCCATAAAACATAAAGCGCGTTTGGAACAGCAAGTCAAGACCTCTCACTTTATGTAAATATCGAGACATCACGATTTAGCCTAAAGTGCTATGATAGCACTTTAATGCCTTCCTTCACTCAATATAGACACAAGAAACTAATGGTTAATCAGTTTGAATAGTTTTAGAAGTGATTGGATCTTTGTCTTTCGATGATTTTTAACACCTGTATTAAAAAAGAATATATGATGCTTAATACATAAATATTGCTCATACACTTAAATACAGTTTGTGTCAATCACGTTTTTAAAAGTTTTATTAAACCACGCAGTCACCGAATTGAAAAAAGAAAATGGGTTCAGAAAAGAGAATAAAAAAAATATTTAAAAAAATTGCATACATTTCGGCTGAACACAATAAACTTAAGCAAGTCAGTTTAAAATTTTCCAAAAACTATATAAGTAAGGCTGGTTTTATGAGCCACGGAAGAAAACTATTCTCATCTACAGTTTTGTTAGAACAAAATAATTTGGAAATTAATTTACATATAACATTACCAAAAGCCTATGTATATTGTCTGCGGCAATATTACGAGTCTCAAGCAATTTATAACTAAAAAGAACGTTATCCATCCAGGAAGAAGTCTTGCTGACTTAGATTATATATGTATATTTTTTTTACGCAGTCTTCTAATTTACAACTATAGCTAGTTTAATAAATAAGTGTATTTCACATAATTGTCGTGAGAGTGCATTCGAAACAGTTCAAAATAAAATAGAAATAACACAGTAATATTAATTATATTTTTCCATAAAAGTCCATTTTTAAGCTCATCCTTTATTTTCATTTTAATTTATTATTTTATTGCTCTCAATTTATGGTTTCGTTTGAACCAGCTCTTCATTGTGTCCTATGTCTTTTCCCTTTTTTAACAATCTAATATTTCCTCGCTTTGTTCGTTTTCTAATAATGTTTCTTCTCACGAAAATAAAAATTATGAAGCAGGAAGTAAGATGTTATTGCAAGTTGCATTTCTCCCCGTATAGAATGTTTCTCAGAATTTTTAATGCAACTACAGTAAACCCTACATGCCACGTGTAAATTACCTAAATTTGAATCTATCCAATTAAAAATTAAAGAAAAAATTAATTTAATGCGTTAAAATTGTGTCATTAATTATGGGTTTTTTTTTAAGTAACTTTTTGGGTCACAAAATTAATTTTAACCAAGTTTGTTTTAGTCACATTCACTCTATGGAGAATTTTTTATTTGATGGCTTTATTTCCAGAAATATCTAACTTATTAAAATTATGAGTTACTAAAATTGTTTTGAGTTTGTCTAAATTTGTTATGCAACTAATCATTTTTTCCCCTAAGATAATATTACAATAAGCATCTTTACCTTATTTGACCTGCAAATTATAACAGTTTTAGTTTTGAGCGTTCCCATATATGGTACCTTAATAGTTAATTTTTAAATAATCATTATAAGCGTATTTCACAAATTCCGCATTATTTCAACTAAATTTATTGTTTGTTTTCATGCTGAATTTCTCGTTTTCATTAAAGATTGTTAGAAAAATCACGCACATGTACAAATGTGTATAATATCCAACATTTTTTGAACTTTTTACATTATGTTGAACTTTTGATTCCGAATCAATAAGAAGTCATAATTAAAGCTGCCTATGTATTTTAAAAATTAATAATTTGATAGATGAAGCAAACTCATCAAATATGAAAAAACACTATTGTTGATTATTGCAATAAATTATTGTACACGGCACGATAAAATAATTTTTGAACAAATTCACAATAGACGAGAAAAAAAAATAACTAGTATGAATGACCGGTTTTTTGTTTTATTGCAAAATTATTATTTTTTTTTTTATTACGTTTCAAATACAGAAAACAGAATTATTAATGTAGTTTAGTTTATATTTGTATGTTTGTATATATGTATGTATGTATTCATAGAAAGCATATTACGACAATATTTCTTTTGTTATTTTCTTGTTATTGATAAATTTTATGTTTTAATTCCTTAAGTATTTTAAACAATACAAAACTTTGTTTGCTTTCTTACAAAAATTTTACAGACATTTTTACAGACCATATTACACACAATAAGATGGGTTATGTGAATAGCACCAAATTCCACATGTTGATTTTTCAAATGAAATATATTTCTCCCTGGTAGAGAAATGTAAACAAGTCATTTTTAGCTAAATACCCTCCTATAGGAGCGTCAGTGTGAACACTTTTGTATCTCAATTTGTTACATTGAGTTCATACATGTTTTCAAACAAATTTTCTTAAAATCTAATGTATGAGCTCCATTTAACGAAATGGCGTGAAAAGAAATTAAATTTCAACAGTAGAACTTTATTTAGAAGCTGAGTTTACATTTATATACAGAGTAAATAATTAATCGATTTCTTTGAAATTTAATATTCAAAGACTGATTTTCAAGGCAAACTAGGGAACTTTTTCGGAAATATAAACATTATTGGAAAATCAAACTTTTACCTACAGTCGATCTAACATTTGGATCCAAATTATGGATTGAAATTAATTGTTTGAATATTGCTTGTCAAAGAAACAAATACTTTATTAGAATTTAAAGTACGTGTTTGAATTGTAGTTTGAACACTTTTACTGATTTAATGTCGTATATACGCTGATCGCATCACATAGTTTTTATATAAAATTGTGTAAAATACTGGAAAATTAATTTATAACTCATCCAAAAATATCAACAATAATTAAATGAATTATTTTTTATTAAATATTAAACCTATTTCAATCGAGAAGATCGTCCAATGTATCTATTTTTTACGAACTAGTGTTATTGATCTTTATACTTGATATAGTAAACGAGTTCATTCTGCACGTGTTTTATTAGTAATAAAACAAAAAATAGAAAACTAGGCTAATATCAAATTTTAGTTTTGAATGAATGAAAAAAAAAATGTAACCATTTACAATAATAATGACAATGTCTTTTACATTGGATCTTAATTCCAATAAAAAACCGTGAAATAAATGAATCTGCCTATGCACATCTATAAAAAAAAACAAATTTTTTTTACTTTACTTACACATTACTAAAATTAATAACCGGTTATTTTAACTATATGGCATCATAAAACTTGTACATGTTAGTCGAATTTAATCCATTAACCATTAATCAAATTTATTACATATGTACACCTTATACCAAACATATACCTTTTTACATGGGATGAGTCATTTTGTAACCGCATATAAAAATTGTAAACTTTTTAGGCGATACAAAATAGATGAAAAAAAAAGTAAGAGTAAAAGCTTTTTCAAATTACTATCGTAGATCAGGTATAAAAATCTTTAAAATCTATTAAAAAAAGCTTTATAGTGGAGTCTTACAAAAAAAAACAGTATCAAATAAACTATGATCCGTCATTAATATTGGAGATGGCGTTAAAAAAAATAGGAAAACAAAAAAATTTAAAGTTAATTTATCTTAAGAGTTACAATGAAAACAGAAAGTTAAAAAATGTATTTTAGATCATTATAATTTACGAGGATTATTTGAAAGTTTTTGCAAATGTATTTCATGTGCTGAAGATCTAGATTAATTAAACAACTAAAATAACTTTTGATTCGGACTTAAAATAATTGAAACTTGAAGCGTTAACAATTACGACCTTTCTGTTACGAGTGTTCGCTAGTCTCAGTGCTCACTTTATCAAAATCGCATTTTTCAATTCAGTCTTAAACAATTTATAGGAATAAAGCTATTGGATCTTACTTAATTAAACAAATTTTTAACAGTTTCACGAGTAAAAACTCTCTACAACTGCATGCAATTAAAATTTTAACATAATTAAATTGGAAAATGGAACAAAGATATGTTTTCACACTGAATTTCAAATGTAAAACATTTTACTACCACATGTAAACGTGCTACTCATTAATGCAGTTAATCGTAAATTCGATCTGTATTCTAACCTACAGTTATGATTAAGGGCATATAGGCCTGCCCGTTATACAAACTCTCACTTCAAAAATGTTGTGTATAGAAAGTCTTTGCAAGAGATTTAAAAGTTTTGTATTAGTTTTAAAGCTAGTACTGTTTAAGATGAATCCAAAACTTTTAATACCGTTATATTTTATAAGCGTCTTACAAGTAGTACAAAAGTTTTTACCACATGTTTAATGCTAACTTGATGATTTTAGAGTAAATTTAACAAATTGAATTTTAAAATTATTGTTGTCATAATGAACGATTTTTCTGCTAAGAAAATATTATAATTTATGAACTTATAAATTCAACTAATGAATTCAATTGAATATATGCAGTACGTGTAATGACATTAGAAATGATAGATTGCGATGCGTAAAGTGCAACGCAAAAAGCAAATCCTCAATAATTTCTTAAAATTTCTGTAGCAATGTTAGTAGAGCGTCCAAATAAATGGTGGTTAATTGCATTTAATTTTCCTGATTTAACTTGTTCTTTTGACCATGTCATCTATTCATTTTTATATATTTCAAATAATTCGCGTAAATATAACCCTCAATATTGAAACCAGTGTCTCTGGTGTTTTCTTAAAAATATCAAAGAAATTGTTATACCTCGTACCAAATTTCTTTCACAATGTTTTTTTTTCTCTATCTTAGTAAAAAGAAAAAAGTTTGAAATTTTAAAGTTTTTACCTTTTTTGCTATTCGATATTATTTCCACCTTTTTATAACTTTCATTCAAAATTTGTGTATAATTAAATATTATGCAAGTTGGTATTTATTAGTTTTTAACCTTGAAATATTTGGTGCATTTTACAAATTTGTATCTTCAAATTTATAAAATTTTTATAGTATAATTTTTATTTTTATTTGTAATTTACCAAAAGCCACATATAAAATAGTTTATAATATAATTTTGTAGACATTTGTCAGTTGAATTTCAGTCGTGCAACATGAAAGAAATAACATTTTGGATTTTATTAACAACATTGTCGCTTAATTTTCATAATGGTCATTCAATTGGCTCATTAGGATCGGCTCTTTCGAATATATTTCATTTATCAAATCCTTTGAATCTATTATCATCAAGTACAGGAAATAATGGAAATGGAAACTCTGGTAGCGATGATGGTGCTGATCCAGAAAAAGTATATCCATACGTTGAATTTAGTAAGTGAAAAATTTTTTTATTTAAAAAATAAATGTACAATTCTTGACTTGAATTAGTGACAATTTAAAAAATTCTAGTACACAATCATAATTACGGAATTAAACTTGGAAGATCATTTGCACTCGGAAATTTTCCAAATAGACCTGGAAATGGAGGTAATAAAACTAATGATGATATAATTGGAAGTGGTACTGGTCAATTTTTTAATGGTCGTCGAACTGTCACAACTGGAAATAATCAAAGAGATGGTGATGATGATGACAATGTTGATTCAATAAACGATGGATCATTTGTAAATAGAGGAAGACAAGGTAGTCAAAGTCAATTGAGTGCCTCTGCACTTCAACCGAATAGAAATAATAATGGAAACAATGGATATAATTATAGACCTAATAATGGAAATAATGGATATAATTATAGACCTAATAATAACGTGAACAATGGATATAACTATGCACCAAATAACAATGGTAACAATGGGTATAATTATAGCCCTAATGAAATTCCACAACAAATCAATAATCAGCCTAATGGTAATATTGCTGGTAATGGATTTAGCTATCCAAATAATGCCGGTCCTCAACTACAAGTTGGATACAACTACAATCCACCATCTTCTAATATAGATATTAGACAAAATAATCCACCTTTTAATGGAGCAATTAGTAATGGACAATCTAGTAATGGTTTTAATAACGATAATATTAATCCAAATATACAAGTTACTCTTGGTAATCCTGCAAATAATAATAATTTAAATAATGATGATTTAGAAATAAATAATAACGGTAACATTCGGAATTTCGGTAATACTAATAATAATTCAAATCGTGGCCAAAATTTTAGACCAAGTGCATCTAACAATAATAATGATGATGATGATGAAAATGTTACTTTCAACAATAATAATAATAATAGAAATAATAATAATAGAAACAATAACAATAACAGTTTCAAAGGCAATGCTGTTAGTAATGGTAACAGTGGCAGCACTGTTAATAATGCAAACAATAACGCAAATCAAAATGGTTTAAATTTTAATGACGTTCCTCAAAAATTCCAGTTTCTTTTAAATTCTTTACATGGAAATACTAATAATAATAACAATAATAATAACAACAATGGTAATAATAATAATAATAATAATAACCTGTTCGGATTTAAAAATGGTAATACGAATAGTAACACCCGTAGAAGTACTCGAAATGATAATTCCAATACTTATACAAGCAACATTGAAAATGCACCAGCAATCGATCAATTTACATCAAATTCTTTATTATTAGCTGATAAAAAAAGACCATTCGATGTAAATGAATCATCACAAAATCAAATTTTATCTAGTGGCAATAATTCTAAAAATAGAGTTGGAAATAATGATATACCATTGAATGTAAAATTTACGAAAAATATTAAAAAACCAATTACAACAACATTAAAACCAACGACAAGATTTTATCCAATACCAGTTGACACAGGTTTTCTAAAAGGATCAGGTGATGATATCCGTAGTGATCCTAATTTAACAAATAAAAATTTGGCTACAGCACACCGTGACATTGTTATACGATGTCCATCCGGAACAAATTGTGTAATATACGCTCTCTCTAAAAGTGGTGTCTTATGAGTCTGATTTTTTAAATATGTATATAATGTGTGGTTCACATATTTTATGAAATGTATAAAGTGTATTTTAAATGATTATATCTATAAATTAGTAGTGTAACCAAAGAATCAAAAGAGTTCGATATTATTGTAAAACGAAAGTAATAAATTTTTTTAATTAAATTTTAATAATTTCCTTTTTACTTGCGTCAATTTCTCAATTGTGTATTGCAGAAACTATTTAAAAAATAATTATTTTTGATTTTTAGATGAAATTTTTAATTTTAATTCCCAACCATTTCACTAAACTTTGTCAGTGACATTAAATTTTGTTTGATTTATTTATGACAACTTGCTTGTTCAATACGATATGCTATTATTGGAATCACGCACACATATTCCTTTTCTTACTACTTCTTACTATTTCTTGCTTCGAATATTAGTTCCGCTAGCGGAACAATGGCCGATCCATCGATCACATCATCGACACATCATTTCTGCTCTTCTATGTATTTACGTTCTTGTACTCTATTTAACCGGCAAATCTGTTCTAAAATAAATCGCTGTCATTATGCGATAAAAATGCAAAAGAATTTAGAACAATTTATGAATCAAAGGAGTTTGAACTTGAAACAATCGTGTCAGTGAAATGCCAAAAATACGCTTTGAATGTTAAAAACAACATAACATCAATACTCTCAATATAAATGTCTTGAACATTAGCTCTCAGTCGTTTATATGACTTTTAATTGCCAATTCGATTTTTTGAAATAATTTTAACACTGACTGTTCCTACTCTTTCTATAATTTTTTTATTAAGGACAAAAATTATTAATTTTAAAATAAATTAACATCAAGTTGTTCAAACGTTTCGTCTCTTAAGAATATGCTCATTGCTAGTTATGATATAACCATTATGAAATGACATTATATGTATGTACATAAAATTCGATGGTCATAATAAATTTAGTAATATAAAAACGAATACAATGTAAAAGTTTTTACATTTACATGTGAATAGTTATAGTACAATAGCATCACAATAGCATCACTAGCATAAGTAATTTAACAAAATTTACATACGCACAGCATCTTGCATATTTACAGGAAATTTACATATTGCATTGACCAAAAGTTACAACAATTTGTAAAACAATGAAACTATTTCAAATTTCTTTCAAATTCAAATATAATAAATACTCTGAGTATTACTGAATCTATTACTAACTCATCTCTTATTAATTTTGCACGAAAATTTAATACTATATTATTTTAATCTTAATCGTGTGCTATTAATATGTTTTTTTTGTCTATTTTTCTCTATTTAAAATTAAAATAAAAAAAAATTTGTTGGGATTGTCTGACCTTAACCTAAGTCAAAATAAAAATTTCTTAAGATTTGTGAACAAAAAAATAAATTTTAATATCAATAAACTTTTATAAATACTTAACAGATCCATAAAAACAATGTAAAAAATAAGAAATTGAAAATAAAAAAAAAAACAAAACGTATGTAAAAAAATCGTCACCCAAATAAAATTAACATAAATTAATTATAAAAAAAAAACTTAATTTTTTCTCTGTGTAAATTAACATAATTTTTAATGAACGACATAAAAAACAAAAACAGTTTTCGTTACATTTTGTGCATCACAACCATGTATAAATCAGACCTTTTTAAAAATTGACCGTGATCAATGCATTTTAATTTGGAGTACTTAAATATAAAACCATATATGCTGATAGTTTTTTTAATAAAAATATATAGATAAGGGCACACGTACGCCCCAATAAGACAACTACATAACTTAAAAATAATTGCAGCAATTAAAAATTCACAATTATTATTTTATAACAAAATTTATTTTTTAGAATGTGTTTGAAAATTCAAGATTTTCTGATTAAAAATGCAAGGTCTGCTGAAGTCAGTTTAGTTCATTTGATCCGTAATGTAATAGCAGACAATAAAATATGGGAGACAATAATATATGAAAACTTATCGGGAATAAAAGGAAACATTTACACAATGCAGTTTCAACCAATAATTCCTTTATATTGCTTTAACTTGTTTTAAAATAGGTGAAAATAATATTTTTTTTCTAAAAATAATCTTTTACTTAAATTTATTATTGCATTAATATTAATGTAGCGCAATAATCACATACAATCCAATAACATAAAATTGCATACTTTTAGGTTCAGCATATTACAATATAATCGGCATATTAAATTGATCAAGTGATGTAATAATTATATTTTTAAATCTATAACGAATTGAATTGTTTTAATTAGTTTAAAAATACTTAAATTCCTGGATTTAATCTCAGCGGATTGGAATTATCTCATATCGTTCTTATACTTATTGCTATATTGCTGCTAAAAATTGTCTAACTTCGCTTTATATAAAAAATTTCACCCCTTCTACACTTTTTTTTTAAATTTATTTATTTTTTATATTTTTCATATCAAATATTCATATCAAATATATGTATACATAAACTCACTTATTCTGTGTTGCACGCACTCCTCAACTAAAATATTTTGGATTAACTAAATATGTATTTTTCTATTCACAATATAAGTGATTGTAAAATCGACAATCGAAACGCGGACATGGTGATTTTATTGGCAATTAACAATTTTTAACCATCAAATGATAGTGACAATAATTCCTATTTCTTTTTTTCTTTTTTTCTCCTACCCCGAAAAGTATGCAATTTTACAATTTAATATTATTTAATTTAAATAATAATAAAATTTTATTAAGTGGGTTATTTGAATAATTAATAGGAAATGTGCTTATTTATATAAAAACCACGTTGATTTAAATATAAATTTATTATTGTTTACATTTTACTCTCACAAATATTTGAATTTTTCTTTTTACCGACCGTATTGTGTAAACAATAGGTAGGTTATGTGATGGCAACAAATTTTGCATATCGAGTTTTCGGTGGGAACGTACTTCTCCATAGTAGGGAAGTGTAAATAAACTATTTTTAGCAACCTGTCGGTCTGTCGGTCTGTCCGTCTGTCGGTCTGTGTGTGCACGCGTGTATCTCAAGTTCGGCTGAACCGATTTTGATGAAATTTTATATGTAAGTTTGTTTTCACCATGGCACGGATCGATCAACTTTTGGTATATATCAGGCCTCGGGAACTGCACTTTTTAGCGGGCCTGTTTTACATTTTTGAACATTTTGAAGAAAATATTCAACCGATTTACTTGAAATTTTATATATAAGCTCAGCTCGACCGTCCGCAAATATTCGTATGTTTTGGAAGAAATCAGGCATCGGCAACTAGACATTTACTACGGGCCAAATATACATTTTTGTGTATATAAAAAGAAATAATCAACCGATTTCATTGAAATTTAATATATGAACTCCTCGTATTAAAACAATGAAAATATAAATTTTTTGAAAAGATCAGGGCTCGAAAACGAATTTGCGGGCCGATTTTACATTTTTCACCATTTTGAAGAAAGTATTCAACCGATTTACTTGAAATTTCATATATAAGCTTTGCTCGATTATACGCAAAAATTCCTAACTTTTGGAAGAAATCAGGCATCAGCAACTGGCCGTTTACTACGGGCCAAATATACATTTTTGTGTATATAAAGAGAAATAATCAACCGATTTCATTGAAATTTAATATATGAATTACCCGTATTAAAACAATGAACATGTAAATTTTTTGGAATGATCAGGCATCGGCAACTAGACGTTTACTACGGGCCAAACATACACTTTTGTGTATATAAAGAGAAATAATCAACCGATTTCATTGAAATTTAATATAGGAATTCCTCATATTAAACCAATGAACATATAACTTTTTTGGAAAGATCAGGGCTCGAGAACTGATTTGCGGGCCGATTTTACATTTTTCACCATATCCACAGAACAAATTGATGGAATTTCTTGAAATTTGATATTTGAGTTCTGGTTGTTACCGAAACTAACTGGCGAGCATTTCAGGAAATTCGGGTAGCACAAAGCGAAACTCTACTAAGAGCCAAATTTACATTTTTCTAAGTATGTTAACTATAAGCTTACTAATGTCCTAAAAATTGGAAAGAAGTATTTAACAGACATTTTTATAATATTCTGTAACACTTTCATTTAACTAGACAATACACAATGCGGTCGGTTATGTGCTGACCACATCAGATTTTTTTTCATTTTACTTAAATTAAAAAAAAATTGGTTAGGATGCTTTTAAAAAGTTCTTCTCCTCTCTATCTCACTCACTCTCTCTTTAAATAAACAAAATTGCTTTTTGAATCATTTTGTTTTTCTTTTTATTTTTGTATTGTGCACCTGAAACCACCATACTGTTCCACTATTTATTTATTTCATTTCACCTTTTAAAAATTACTGTAAATATTTGCTATTTTTCTTTTTGATCAATAAAAAACGTAAATAATTTTTCATTTTGCTTTTTTTAATTTTATTTTTTTTTTCGTTTTCTTTGTGTATATTTGACACGAAATTATTTATTTCCCTGCATCAAAAATATTGCACCAGAAAATTCCACGGGCATATTGTTCCTTACCTATACATACATATTTACAAATTCCAGAAGGATATTGCTTCTATAATGATAAAAGTATTATTATTAGTATAATATTATGAACTGAGAAAATTTTATATCTTATACCTTGTGCGTATTAAACTATAGGATATAGCATTATGATAAGTTAATATTCAATGTACTTAGTTTAAGCCACAATAATTATTTCGCATTTGAATAAATTCATAGAAAACCAAGAGAAAATATTTTCCACATTATTTAATAAATCTAAATTAAAAGATTGTGATATTGCTTTGTTATGATCGATCTCTTGTGAAATCTTTCCGAGATTAATTTGTATAAATATAAAATAGTAGTTTTACCACCACCTTCTATTATACGAATGATTAAAATTATTAAAAGAGTGAATATTTATAAATGGAAATGTTTTAAATGGTGTGCAGTTTGACTTTTTATAAATTCGTTCTGAGTATCTTTGTT